AAGTCACTTAGCTACAGAAAATGAGAAAATTGATTTTTCGATAAGACTTAATAACACAATAATAATAGATATGGTTCATTTAATTGAAGTACATAGCCGACTAAGTATACTAATGGAAGCACGCGGGCCKTCCAAAAATTAAAACAACTCAGTTAGAAACATTTATACGAGTACTATTGGCACTAAGCTTAGAGCTTTTCAATATAAGATCACACAGAATTGCTCGTACTTGAACCAGAAACTTAATAAGAGAGAGTGCAAGTAAGAGTGTTCTGTAACTAAAAAATTTTACATAGATTGTCAAGAGTGGTTGATGTAGGAATCAATAATGTTTCCATCTTTAACGATGAAAGATATTTTGCTTGTAAACAAAAAGTTCACAAAACAGTAATCAGTGATACCAAGACTGATCTTTTAGCTTTGATAGATTACCGAAGTATATAATCTCACAAATTCACATAAAAAATTATAAGTTAAAGTAACATTCCTTGGCTATTTACAGTGGCTAGTGCCTTGCCCACACGAGTACGGAGATTTTTTTTATCGGCGAATGTTTTAAGAAATAACCGGGATAATATAACTTCTAAAGCTGGTCTAAGAGACAATTTTTGGTGAAATTTACTTGACTTACTTGGAGTACATCGTACTTAGTCATTTTGAAGAAAGTTAGAAAATTTGGATGGATAGAGAAACGATTTTTGTAGCCGAATTTGCCGGMGAAGACTGACTGCGATCGTAGGTTTGTTGACATGATACTACAGCAATACAATGTTTTAGCTGATCATGTTAAGCTTTGTGGTACACTTGTCAATTTCATATTCTGTTATTTTTTTTTTCAAAATCACCCTAAAATCTCCGAGTTGTGTTGCCATTTTTCAGCTTGATTTGGCATTGGGCTTGGTCTATTGATTTAGCCAATAGTAATGGTTTATCTATCAATAAATTGTTTTTTCCTTGACCCAGTTTGTAAATGACTTGTTTGAACAGTGCTCAATACACATTAGTGCAGAGCAAAACATGCAATAGGTGAACTACACGGAAACACGTATGATTCTCTGTGACGCACTCGTCAGACAGAATTTAAATTAACCCTATTCAGACTGGGCTTTTTTTTTCAATCTGTGACTGGGGAGGGGGGGCTCATTCGCCCCCCCTCAATATCTTCGGAACCAATACGTCTATGAGCATGAAATTTTCACAMAATGGTCGCCCACGTAAAACGAACCACCACACCCAGTCTTGACCCGTGGGAACCAAATGTGACGTCATAATGACGTCATTTTCACCATTTTAACGAGTTATAATTCATTTTAATAAATTGCATACAATTCCATAGAGAATGCTGGAATATCATCTGATTATTATTGAAATTACTTGAAAATAATATTTTTGTATTTTTTAATTGACCCCTGTTCTATATGACGTCACAATGACGTCATAGATATCAGGTAATTTTTATAAATTATATATCTATATCTAGATAACCAGTTAAATATCATATTTAGGCGTTACTCCTCTCCTGTGATKTTGTGGTTCATTTTGTATCCATGGTAACGGTTGTGACGTCATAATTGTGATGAAGTCATWTCCTATAGTGTCTTTGTCGTCTTTGAATAATTTGACTCCAAATCTCACTTTGTTTTTGTCTACATCGACTTTTTATGGTAAAATTTACAATTTGAGAAGTTTTCGAAGTTAAACAATTTGGAACAAGCAATTTTGAGACGAATATCCGCCATTTTAGGATCCGCTATCTTGGACCGCCATCTTGAATTTTCTAAAATGCCATTAAAGAACTAAGCATTGAGGCAAACAGCTCAAAATGTCTTAAATACTTCTCAAACTAACATTTAATGAATAAAAACGTGAGTTTCGAAGTGTTACTGATGATTTTAATGAAATATTCTCCCATGTGAAAAAGTGACAGAAAACTACCCACCCCTCCCCAAACGTTTTTGTTGTCGAAAAAGTATTATGGTATTGTAGAGTCAGCAATGGGAGCAAGCTCAAATAGGTAAAAGATGCATAATAAAACAAGAAATAAGCTTTAAAAATTAAACTTATTTTACATTTTTGAAAACCTATGTGTCAAAAACTGGTTGCCATGGCGACATGGATGACGTTATCAACAAAACATTAATATCAAAATCTGCCCAGATAAATTTTAGGAAAAGTCCGAAAGTTTCAGAGCTCTAGCTGTCTTGGTTCGAAAGTTATTGGCTTTTTACGCGAGGGGGGGCTCAAAAGGCCCCCCCAGTCTGAATAAGCCAGAGGGACTAGAGTCACTCTAGAGTGACACTAAGAGTCACAGAGAATCATGTGTGTTTCCTTGTAGTGAACCTATCCCAYAGAATATACATAGAGGATATTACATGGGCGAGCGGATTTTATCTTCTAGCGCCGTTTTGCCGCGCACAAAAACGTATACAAAACGCTTTAAAAAAACGCTCAACGGTTGTCTCGTTTCGATGTAAAGGCACGGCTACCTTTCAAGATGGCGCAGGTAACCATGACTATGACTATTCAGCCTTTTTGGCTGCCATATGTTATGGAAGTTATGGAACCTCGTTTTTTCCACTCTTTTATGGCCCTCGCGCTACGCGCTGAGGCCATACTTTAGCGGAAAAATTCAGTCCATAGCTTCCCGTACGGCCCTAGCGCTCGGTTGATGAAATGTTCATATTTCAGCGGGAATTAAAACTATGGCACGGGTTTTCCTGCGTTTGCTCTATTGCATTTGAACAATGCCAAACAATTTAACAATAGGACAACAGGGTCTTAATGGAGGGTCTCAATGTCGGTTGCCAGTTAAAATTTCAGCATTGTCGGTAAAAAAAAGTTGATAAACACTTGAATGCATCTAAAACGGTGCGCTATATCAACATGATATAATAAAAGAAAGTTATAATGTTAGAAAGGAGGTTATTCCGGGAGAAATTGAATCCTCGAGTCTAGATTGGCCAATTGGATGTCAAGTTTTAGAGTCGACAATCAAAACTTCAAGAAGCCAAACCGAAGCAAATTTTATTTTTTCCGCGGAAAACTACGAATAGCAGTTGCTATTTTRTCCATTTGTCGCTAATCGCTCCCCATTCAGAGCCTAGGAAAAACAGTGAGAATAGCAACATGACATGAATATTAAAATGAAATTTCTATTGTCAGTTGTTGCTATAGTTTTAATAAGTAAAAAGGAAGAGCCGAAGTTATTTTCGATACATTATAATAAAATCCATAATTGACAAAGTTTTGTCGTTTTACCAAACAAACAGAAAACCTACAAAATGTAGGTTGTAAGCTGAAACTACCATGCAGATTAATCAATGCTTTTGACAATCAAGCTAATTTTATTAACTATTTAGATAATATTTGTTGAGGAGATTCTGCAGCATATTGTCTAGTGGYATTTATTAGCGATTATTTTATCTGAAAATCCAATATTTCTAGTAATACCATGATCACCTCGGATTCTTTTGTCTTCCGAGGGATGTTTACAAGCGAACATCCCTCGCTCATGAATAGCATGAGGGACGATTGCTAGTAATCGTCCCTCATGCATAATAACTTGAGGGACGATTAGACTAATCGTCCCTCATGTTATTCATTTCTTTTATTTTATTTCTTTTCTTTATACGATTTTGAAGTCAATTTCCATCGACTCTCGAGGATCTGCCATTTTGTTTAGACAATCGTCAAGCATTTTCGACACTAGTCCGCTCGCGGTCAAAAAACATTCCGAGCCTCCTTAAGATTGGTGGAGTCTAGCGGTAAACTAGTGTAAGCTGCGTCGGTGTTTCTAAAGACACTGTTGTGTAAAATGACAT